GCCTCCCAGACTATGATGATAGCAACCAGTCTGGGGCTAATGTGCCCAAGACTTATGGCACCTAGAGCAGACCAATCTCTTGCCTCGTCTCCTCTTGCCCTTTCTGCTTTCCTGTGAGCTTATGGAATTTTTATTTCCTTTTGTAACTGCTGGTTCTGTGCTCTTTTACATGTGGAAAGAGCTATTAAGATGAAGCTGAATGATTTTTAGAAAGACAGACACCTAATAAGACATACTTAGCATTTTTTTTAGAAATATAGTCATCAAATTATGAGAAACGTTTTTAATGCCATTTTCAAAACCATGAATTAATCGACAGTTTAGGACACAGCTTACTTTAATTACTAACATTTTTATTAATTTCTGCTTAGCTCCAAGTAAGAATGGGGTCTCAATTCTATGTTCTCTCGGTGGAAATCAAGACCATTTCAACTTTGTTTTAAATTGTTTTAATTACATGTAGCTATTTTACCTATTTAATGAGGCATGAAGTAAATAATACATTGAAAACTGGAATCTTGAATATGCTTTTTAAATTGATATGAAGTTTAATTACAATTTGGTCATTTTCCAAATTGTCCTTTATATTACCCGAAAGTATAATTTTTCAGGCTGGTGCCAGTTATTTGTACCATTTCAGATGATTTTTATGTTAGTGTGTTAAGATTCATCTTCACAAGAGGTAATTAACAAGCTTCTTAGAAAAAAAAAAGCTTTTCATTTCATGCTTTAAATGAATTTAAAATAAATAGCATTGTGAAATCACATTCTTGGTGCTTATTGGGATGGTGGAGTGCTCTAATGAATCCTATTACATAAAATGATGCAGATTGCAGGGAACATGGGAGAGTAACATGTTTTTAGTCATCATTTTCACCCCTCATTTATTTGAGAAAATGGATAGTAATTAGATGTCATGGAGCATTTTCTTTTCTTACAGAAAATTTGTTGATTGGATTTATCTTGCTCACTGTTTCACATTTAGCTTGCACAGCAGATAGTCTTTGGTTTGAAATGGTTTGATTATGATAATTTATCCCTTATTTCTTCCTTCTCAATTCTATCATAAACACCATCTTCTCCTTTAGTGAAAAATAAAGATGTCAGAATGAACTTTGTAGGATAAAGTCATTTTTTAATCCAATTGTCAACCCTAATGTTTCCACTGTATTCTTGGTTTTGCCCTTTGTGTGTGTGTGGAATGGGAGCTTTATTTTCTAGTATGAATTCAGAATGCTGAAAATATTTTAAGGTTTGTATTTTGCCTTTTTAAGAAAAAATGGTAAAACTGTATTATCAACTAGAAAAGTGGAAGCTTCTTACACTTAAAATTTTTCAACTTCAGTTTAGCCCTAGTTAAATAGCTCCTGTCTTCTACTGATATCCTAGATAGCGTTTTCCTTTCAATACAAGACAATCTGGCAGTGTGTCTTAGAGTTTAGGAAACTGCTTTGCAATTGAGTCCTCTTTTTAAATAATGATACAATTCTTCCAAAGTGACAGTTATTGTTAGCTTTTTCTTATGTCTGTAATAAATGTTGCATTAAAATTTTTTTTTTCACATTTTTAAGAGTCATCTAAGAATATTATCCTTTGAGCTTGGTTTTAAATGAAGATATCAGCAGAGATAATACACTCAAAGAATGTTTATAGTGGCTCCAAATGAGACAGTCTAAGTCATTCAGTATTAATAGCTACCAACTGGTTTTGTGTTTCCTATTCACCTATAGTAGTTAGTTAGACATCGTGATATATAGGTAGAGTTGACACCATCCCAAAGGTTACACATAGAAGGGTGTGCTGAAGAGGAGATGGCAAAGTAGTGATCAGAGAGGTAGGAGAGAAACCAGGAGAATATTGTAACAAAAAGCAAAGGAAGAACTTCAAAAGTTGTGGAGATGTTAAAGAAATGTAGGTTGGCACTGGATGCAACCATAGCTGAAGACCTTAAATCTGTCTTAGCTCCAGTCTGCTCAACTGTGTTTATTACCTCTGTCAGCAGTTATCAACCCAAGTGAATGATCACATAAGGGAGAATCAGGGTGGGACTTTTTAGTTTTAGACTGGATAGATAAGAAAAGTAAGGCACAGCCTAGCAAAAAATCCTGAATTCTAAGATTAAAGGGAAACCCATATGTGATTCCTAAGAAAAAAGAGAAAATAATTAGATTGGCATTGGACTTATATTAAACTGGAAGCTAGAAGACAGAATCGTCTCCAGACAATAAGTAAAACAAGTGAAGACGACTGCAGCCATATGTTCTATATCCAGTTCTATACCTGTCAAAGAAATGAAAGGTACTTGAGCATAAGAATAAAACAGTATACCACCTACCTAAAGAAAATACTTGAGAGAAGAGAAAATAGCAAAGATATGAGGAGAAGTCAAGATGGAAAAAAGAAAGAAACAGGTGAGCAAGGAGACGTAGATGCAGTTAAATCTATGAGGGGAGACTTAGAATGTATAATCTAAGTTCAAAATAAGATTTCTTGAAACAGAAAATGCATAATACAAGATAATTTTAGTAAGATAGCAGAACAAAACATTTTTCATAGTCTTACCTTGTTGATGTGGGTGAGGAATAGACAGAGCATTTTCATAAAAGAAAGAGTTAAATTTCCATCTTATATAACTAAGCATTAAAGAGGATAAAAAACATTTTAAGTAATAAATGGCACATAGTTATAAGCAAGATAATAGTTATAAACCTAAAAGTACTAGACAACATAGCAACTAAAATATATATAAAAAACTATCAGAAATGCAACAAGAACTTGAAGTGGAAAAGGTTAATATACTGGTTTGAAGGGGATAAACTAGCAGAAAAAAGTGATATAAGGGCAGAGGAACTGAGTCAACTCAAATATAAGAACACATTCATCCCCCAAAGAATCAATTTTTTGGTATTTTTGTGGAACATTAACAAAAATCAAACATGCCATAGGCCACAGGAAAAACCTTAACAAATTTGGAGAAAATAGATTTTCTAGAACATATTACCTGGTCATAAGCCTATAAAATTATGGATATATAATAATATATAACTAAAACTTTACCTTAAATTTGAGAAAAACACTCTTTGATATTACTAAGATTAAAGAAGAGATGAAAATAATCAAAACTACCAACTATCTAGCAAGCAATGAAAAAATACTCTTTATTCCAAAACTCTGCTATGCAGTGTAACCCATACTCAGAGGAAAAATTGTAACTTTAAATTATTTCTTAACCCAAGAAGAAATATGAAAAACAAAAGAACTAGGTAATCATCTTCCAAAATTCAAACAACCACCAAATATTAATTCAAAGAAAATAGGGCAGAGGAATTAAGTTAAAAGCTTAAATCATGGGCCTAGAATATTTTTTTAAAATACATACAAATTTCTAGGCTAACCTTTGTGCAAACTCAACAATTAGGTTTGTTAAGGGATCAGTATATATAGAAGTGGAGGTGGCATATAAGCTCCCTAAAGGCGATTTTGGCCCTCATCATTTCTCCTCATTCCAATTATTTATCTATCTCATGTTTTTATCTGGAATCTAAGTTACAGCATGGGGAGATATGCAGGGTTCTGTTAAATATACAGGGTTCGTTATAGCATAATTATAAGGCTGGAGGGGTTTTGTAGCCATGTACCTCTAGTTAAAATTCCTACTCTGATGAAAATTTTCCTGGAAGGAGATCTGTGAATATTTGGAATGCTAAATTACTGAGAAATTTTTCATTTAAAAAATGACAAGACAGACCTCAAAACATAACTAAATTATAGTATTGTGGATTAATGGGAATTATGCAACAGCTACATGTATATATATTGTATTTAATTTTTTAAATTCTCCTTTATTCATCATACCACTCTAGAAGACTGTCATTGTCAATAGCAGTTCTTAACCTCTGAGGCTTAATAAAGTAAGACTTGCTGCAATCCCAAAGTAACAATTTTGTCATTTAACATTACAAATGTGGATAATCTTTATATTACAACTGGTATTTACTTCATATTGTAGAGGGAAAACCTTTGCCTCACAGCTCTGTCACATTAAGGATTGTTTTTGACTCATTTTGAATTGATGGCAATAGTAAGTTTGAACTGCTTGGTTTATGGAGGGGATAAATAGAAGGGAAGGGAGGCATGGAGGACTATCATTGTTTTTCTGGAGATTGGTAAAAGCAGACTGATAAGAAAACAGACAATATCTTCCTTTAGTCTTTTACTACTAATTAAAAGGTGATGTGGTATGTTTTGGGGAGTGGGGAGGAGGGGGGTGCATGTGTGTTTTACAGAAGAAATGCAAGTTTAGCATCATACCTTGTTTTTGATAAAATATGGGAAGAAGGAAGAGGGGCCTTAAACTCTAGAAAATACCTAACAGTTTGTAGCATATGCGTTTACCTATTTCTCAGTTTTATGATAATGAGCTAAGCTTTCACCTGATTATTCAATTGATTTTCCTCTTTTCTTTCAGCAGAAGAGCTGGAGTAATCATTTTATTTTACTTTTCATTTTTTCATTTTCTTTTGATAATATTAGTATAAAAAGAAAGTAGCAGGAGCATGTAATATCTTTAGAGCAAAGACCGCAGTGACATTGCTTTTACGCTCAGCGTAATTCTGTTGACAGGTATCTTTAAGCTTTTGCTTTTATCTGCTTAATCCTGAAACCAAATCACACTATTGGTCCAAATCTCATTTCTGTTCACTATAAAATATGTACAATGGATATTTTTGTCTTTGGCCTTACTTAGTTCTTTACCTCAATTATTATATATCTGTTTTTAAAAAATGCCTCTTAGTTATATCCTCTCATTCTCAGCAAGTTTTTCAAACAGCATGACGTTCTATAACATTTATAAAGTTGTTTTTACTCACCATTAATTTCATTTTTTTCATTCACTTCCTTGGATTTTCTAAAAACTTTTTTTTAGTTTTTGCTTTGAAAAAAATCAGTTAAAATCTGACTGTGGTTTTCGCCTTTATTTTCTTTGTATCCATCTATAGGATGAATACAAGCCAGAAAAGGCCTTGTCTGAAGAGGACTTGAAAAACGCTGTGAGTGTGCACCATGCGTTGGCATCCAAGGCCACGGACTACGAGAAGAAACCAAATGTGTTTAAACTTAAAACAGCCGACTGGAGGGTCTTGCTTTTTCAAACTCAGTATGTTTTGTTGGTTTTTATTTGATTTTGTATTTTAGTTCATTTAGCACCACTTTATACTTAGGAATAAAATCAAGCTCTGTGGGGGAAATTTTTTAAGTTGGAATCAAAGTCATGATGTGCTTACATTAGAGAGATAACTGCCTAAGACATTTTTGTCTATTACAAAATAGCCCTTTGACTTTTACCATCTCTAGAACTCAGTGACCTCATCAATAAAATAAGAGGGTTTTAGTAGGCAAGTTCTATTGCAGAATGAGTAAAATAGACCTGGATAACACCATTTTGCTAGCTCTTTCTCCTAGCACATAGTTTAACCTCTGAACCTCAGCTCATCACTAGTGTAGGGGATAATGTTTATCTTACAGAGTTCTAGTGAGGAGTTAGTAAGACAAGTGTATATAATACTTCACACAGCCCCTGGCACATAGGAACTTTTCAGTAAATGTAGAATTTTTTTTTATTTATTTTTGTTTCCCTTCTGAGCTCTAGTAGTCCATGATTATTAGAAGGAAAAGATGCCATTCCACTGTGAGCAAAGAAATGGGATGAATTGCCAATTTCAGGAGGAAGTTGTAAGGAAGCAAGTTGCACAGGGTTTTTTGGGGGTAGGAATAGGACAGTTAACATCACACAAGGACCCATAGCTGGATGTACAATTCCAGCTATTAGGCATAAAGAAACTTTCAAATTATTCTATTCCCTAATTTTTTAAATCAAAAATACCAGATGTAATAACTAAGAAGATCTAATTACTTTGGGCAGAACTGATGGAAGAAACAGTCCATCAAAATAATAATGGACCCAGCAAAATGAGCCTAGAGAGAGTTCGGTGACGAGTTGATATGTAGCGTGGTCTCAGCTTAGTTAGCCTGGTTTCTCTCAGAGTAATTGGTGAAGGAAATTACTTTGGCTGACTTTTTTTGACTTTTTGCTTATTAGTAATGTGTATAGTAGATAATCTGTCCTGATTCATGATCATTTCTACCATTAATTTATGAGTTTACAAATATCTATTAAATGCTGTGAATCTTGGGCTTTCTGGATATAATGACACATAAATTTAAAATATGATCACAACATCAGATGATTTTCACCTCCTCTCAGGTGGGTTTTTTAAACAGTTGTATTGAGGTATGCTTTACATACCATAAAATATCACCAGTTTTAAATGTACATTTCAATGATTTTTTTAGCATATTTAGCAGATGGCTCAGCCATCACCACAGTCCAGTTTTGAAACATTTCCATCACTCCAAAGAGATCCCCATGCGCATTTTGCAGTCACTCCCATTCTCACACCCACTAATCTACATTATGCCTCTATAGTATTGCCTTTTCTGGACATTTCATATAAACAGACTAATATGTGGTCTTTTGTATCTGGCTGCTTTTATTTAGCATAAAGTTTTGGAAATTTATCCGTATTCTAGTGTGTGTCGGTACTTTATTGCTAAATATTATTAAGTTGTATGCATTTACCACATTTTATTTATCCATTTACTGGACAATTTAGATTGTTTCCCCTTTTTGCTTCTTAGGAATGATGATGCTATAAATACTAATGTACAACTCTTTGTGTATCTATATGTTTTCTTTTGAGATGGAGTCTCACTTTGCCACCCTAGGCTGCAGTGCAGTGGCGTGATCTCTGCTCACTGCAACCTCTGCCTCCCAGGTACAAGCGATTCTCCTGCCTCAGCCTCCTGAGTAGCTGGGACTTCAAGTTCACACCACCATGCCTGGCTAATTTTTGTATTTTTAGTAGTGATGGGGTTTCACCATGTTGACCAGTCTGGTCTCGATCTCCTGACCTCAGGTGATCTGCCCAACTTAGCCTCCCAAAGTACTAGGATTACAGCACGAGACACCACATCTGATATATCTACATGTTTTTATTTCTCTTGGGTAGCTACTTAGGAGTAGAATTGCTGAGTTGTATGTAAATGCATAGTTAACTTTTGAAGAACCTGACAAACTCTTTTCCAAAGTGGATATGTCCATTTACCTTCCCTCTATCAATATATTCCTCAGTTTTAAAAATTAAATAGTACAATTAAAAGAAATTAGTAAATTTTATAATTAATTTTTGGTCCAGCTTCATATCAAACAGAAAGTAGGGGTTTAACAAATACTTATGGTCTGGTGTTTCTCTTTTTTCCCTTCTACTTCCTAGGGAAAGAATCACGGTCTTGCACTATGAAAATCATAGCTTCCACATCATGGTGATTGTTCTTCAGAATGTTCATCTCTAATGAAGTTTCGTCAGGGATTAGTTCTACCAGGAGGAGTAAATGATTTTCATATGCCATTGCAAATCAGTAATGTGGCATAGTCAAAGTGTGATGCTACTTAGACATAGCAAGATCCTAATATAAACATATATGTTTCTCACAGGAGCCCAGAGGAAATGCAGGGGTGGATAAACAAAATTAATTGTGTGGCAGCTGTATTTTCTGCACCACCATTTCCAGCAGCAATTGGCTCTCAGAAGAAGTTTAGCCGCCCACTTCTGCCTGCTACTACAACAAAACTGTCTCAGGTAATCATCTTGATAGTGTTTTGACCTTGGGAAAAAGTACTTTGTGAAATAATGTGGTAAATATTTCTCTTTGAATAATACTCCATGTTTCGGGGACAGATGAGAAACCTTGCCCTGTGAGAGCATATCTTATAAATGGGGCAAAAATGCTGTACGCTGGGTTTTACATGTCATGTAGGAACTGACATAATTGAGTCTCAGTAGGACACATAAGTTGATCTAGTTTCTAAAGTTTATATTAGTGTACTGTTAGCCATAGTTGATGGTTTGGCTTTTTTTTTTTTAACCACCAGCTCATAATCTGGCTTGGTAACAAGATTTTTATTCATTCACTCTTTAGCTCATTTTTATTGAGCATTTGCCATATTCTAGGATATGTTTGGTGCTAGGAATATAAAAATATTTTCAGGAATCTACTGCTCATAGTACAATGAGAAAGGGCCTTCCCTACCTCTCCGAGCAGAGCTGAATGCAACATTTGGATTTTCTAAGTTAATGAAGATAAAGTATACCAGAACTCTGCTCCAAATGTATTTACGTAAGTCTCCTTCTGTTGTCAGATTAATCTTACTAATACCCTTATTTTATCATGTCCTTTTTCACTTAAAATTCTTCTAAGGACACTGCCTACAAGCCAGGTTTGCTGATTTTAAAACTGTCTGCAGTATCCCCTTGCCATTGACTAGTTGAAGATTTTGGAAGCTACTTTGATGTCTTTGTGAATTTCTTATTACATGGAGATAGTTTTATCTGACTATGATCAACCACGTCTTGGTATTATCCAGCTCCCTACACATGTTCAATATTGTACGATGTGTCTCATGGCAAGAGAGGAAGAATTATCAATGATATATTTATTTAATACATGTGTATTATATGCCTGTTGTACGTTAGAGAGTGCTTTTGGCCATGGAGATAGAAAGGCAGATGAAGCCCAGATCCTCTCCTGAAGATGTGGCAAGTATAAATAAAGAAGTAATTGTAATATAATTTGATAAAGGTACAGGAAAGATAAGTCCAGAGAGCTATGGAAGTTCAAGGAAGGGACATTATCTAGCCTGTCCTTGGAGTTGAAGGAAGAAATGTGATGCCTAATGTGAAGCTAAAAGAATGAGAGGCAGTTAGGTGAGATATAGGATGAGGTAGGAGAATGAGCCAGCATAGGAACAAAGGCTTAGGAGAGCATTTGATGCAGGAACCGCACACAAGTTATTAACTGTGATGCGAGCACAGTATTGAGAAAAAGCAAGAAATTCACCTCTGTGGAGGTCAGCAAAGGCCAAATCATGAAAGGCCTTGTTTGTCCTGTATAGGATTTTGGATGCTTCAGTGGTTCCCAGCAACCTTAAAATAATAAATTTAAGGCTGGGCGCAGTGGTTCACACCTGTAATCTAGCACTTGGAGAGGCAGAGGTGGACAGAGGTCAGGAGTTAGAGACCAGCCTTGCCAACATGGTGAAAGCCTGTCTCTACTAAAAATTCAAAAATTAGCTGGGCGTGGTGGCAGGCACCTGTAATCCCAGCTACTTGGGAGGCTGAGGCAGGAGAATCACTTGAACCAGAGGCACAGTTTGCAGTGACTGGAGATTACGCCACTGCGCTCCAGACTGGGTGAGAGCGAGACTCCATATCAAAAAAATAATAATAATAATCACTTTAAGCAGGAGGGTAATGTGATCAATTTTTTTTGCTTTAAAAATTATTCTCTTTACAATATGAGAAAATATTAGAAGAAGATACTGCTAGAAGCAGAATGGCCCATTTTAAAGAAATGTTCAATCATCTAAAGGAAAGGTAACCAAGGTCGTTGTAGAAGAAATGGATAGTAGTGGAATTACTTGTGAGATCTTTGCAATGTGAAATGGACAGTTTCTGGTGGCTCATGGAAATGTAGGAAACAGGCTGTCATCGTGGCCTGGACAGCTGGGGACTGTGGAGCCTCACCTCACTGTCTCTTGATTTCCCCCCTTGCTTCTTAGACTCCTTTCTTGGATCATTTTTTTCTATCTCCAAATATTGCAGTGGCCAGAGCTCAGAAGCAGACTAAGGCACTTGATGAGCAATTTTCCAAAAAGTTTACTTAGATATAATACAAACAAACAGAATTGCCAAGAAAAGGGGGAGAAGGTCCAGTAAAATTTAGACAAAAAATACATCATATTTGGTGGCTGGGAGGTCCTTAGATGTCTTAGTCTGTTTTGTGTTTCTATAAAGGAATACTGGGTCATTTATAAAGAAAAGAAGTTTATTTGACTCATAGTTCTGCAGGCTGTACAAGAAGCATGGCATCAGCATTCAGCATCTGCATCTGGTAAGAATCTCAGGAAACGTCAAATCACGGTAGATGGGGAAAAAGGAACAGACGTGTCACATGACCAGAGAGGGAGTAAGAGACAGAAGAAGGGAGAGTGCCAGGCTCTTTTTAACAACCCACTCTCACTTGAACTCATAGAGCAAGAACTACCTCATTATTATAGGGGTGGGATCAAGCCATTCATGTGGAATTCACCCCCATGACTCAAACACCTCTTACCAAGTCCCACCTGCAACACTGGGGATCAAATTTCAACATGAGATTTGGAGGGGACAAGCATTGGATAGCCTTAGCAAGAACAGTTTTGTTGGAGTCTTGGAAACAGAAACCATGTTGGTCTTCTTTGATGGGGGAATGAATGAAAGGTAATGAGAAAGTGGAGGAGGGGAATATGCTTGGGTCTTGCCAGTTATAAAAAAACAGAAAGACTGTTAGCAAGAAGGAAGGATCAATGGTTTCAGGATTCTTTTGTTTTTAATTCATAATTATCATTAACATATATTGAATGCTTACTTGTAAGCATTACTATTACTGTACAGTTCATACAAGATGCAATGGCATTTAATTTTTAAGGATAATAAGTACCCTATGACTGTAAGAGAAAGGGAGTGCTCTTATTGATCACCAGAAGATATGTTGGTGGACATCTCCATCTCTCCAACTGAACTATGAACTCTTAAAGCAAATGCATTTCTCTGCTTTAAATATGGGTAATTAATATAACCAGCATACCACATTAAGAGTATATTGCTTAAAAGGAAAATCACATTACACAATGTAAGAAGAGAGAAAAAATTGAGTAAGTAGAAGCAAAAAAAATACCTTCCAAAATTGAAGTCTTTTGCTCTATTAATTTTATAGTGGACTTTTCCATTGTTATTTGTCAGTAGACTGGGTCTTTCTCACATCCAATTCTGTAAAAGATCCAGGGAAGAAGGTGAGTTGAACTAAAGAGGGATGTTAATAAGCAGTCATTCGTGGAAGATTTATGTAGCTTAGAGCAACATATGAGTGTTTCCTTGTTTTTCCCTCACCGTGAAATCTGTAGTTATGTTTACTTTATATTTTAAAAAATGTATTGCTTTCCTATCTCGGGGCTGTATACTAGTAAGTCATATGCACATGAAAATGAATGTGTTCACCTGTTTGTGAGTTTTTACCAGAACAGGCAAGCAAACACCTTTATCAGGGTAGGCACTTTTATTTCAAACAGATGACTTAAACTGAAACCAAAAATGGAATGCATAATTTTTTAAAATATCCTCCTTCATTTTGGACATAAATCCACAGAGATGCAAAAAAATGCATATGTAGTATAATCAGAGTTATGGATTGAAGATTTTAAATAAGAAAGTAATAACCAAAAAGAACTATCCTCTAGTGTCTTGTAAGACAAGGTAAGTAGCCATGTCATTTCAGGAATTTAACTTAATTGGAAAGAAATGAGATTATCTCCACCACCCCCACCCCGCGACCCCACTGAATTACATCACCCAGCATTTGCTTTGTGGGCCTCAGTTTTCTAGCCAGAAAATGAGATGGTTCTAGAATGTTTTTAAGGGTTTTTCTATCAACAGCTCTGTATTATTTCTTTGCCAAGTCATAGTATTTCTTTCTAAAGACAAGATTTTTACCTTTGAGAAACAAATATGTAAAATTAAGCACGTATTTAGGGTAGGACCTGAGGCTCTTGGGGATATCTATGCTGGGGTCATGGTGTGCCCAGTGAATCCTGGAAGATGTCTGGCTGCCCCTAGGATTCCTCTAGTACCTCAAAGACTAGCTCACATCCTTTAACCCAGGCGTACTCACCGCAGCAGTGTTAACATTTTGATGTGGATATTTCTTTGTCGTGGAGAAGGGGGCGGCTGCCGTGTGAATTGTAGGATGTTTAGCCATATCCCCAGCTTCTAACCACTAGATACCAAAAGCAGCCCCCCCAATTCTAACAACCAAAAATGTCCCCAGACATTGCCAAATACTTTCTGGAGTCAAAATCCACCTCACTTCTATTGAGAACCACTGCTTTAGCCATCTTTTTTTTTTCATACCTCCACAACCTGGCTATGACTCCTCTAAATGCCAGAACTTTTTGGATAATTTTAATTTACAAAATACATATATAAAAACATGAGTGCCCTGCTGGAAACATTGATAAAGAAAGATAAACAGTGTTCGAAAAAAATTAGACATTCAATTAAAAGATTGGTACTTTTGCAAGGCACATTGTTTGTCACTCGCTCATTTGTAGGCTTTGCTTTAATTTATTCTTGTCTTCTATGCAAAACACATTAGCCTTAATCATTAAAATTGATTATTACGAGTGCAGCGTGGTACTTCATGAACAACTCTGCTGCGTAGGAGGAGTTTCCTTCTTTGTTTTTCGTGGCAATGTTGCCAGAGCACATTTTTCTTCTGGGGGTGGAAAGACTAGTTTGAAAATTTTTTGCTTCTCCTTCTGGTGTAGCTCTCCAAACACAGAACTGCATGGCTGGCCCTGTTTGGAATCTGCTCACGGCCGCCTTTCTGCCCCACAGAGAAGTCATTTCAAACCTTAATGTGCTAAACAATTATGTGGGAACTTGCATAAAATGCACATTTCCCAGTCCCACCAGGTCATTCAAGTCCAGGCTGGGGCCCAGGGACACACGTGTATTTCTCATGTATACCAGGCTGGCAGGTGGCT